TCTCTCTCTCTCTCTCTCTCTCTCTCTCTCTCTCTCTCTCTCTCTCTCTCTGTGTGTGTGTGTGTGTGTGTGTGGTGTGTGTTTAACATTATGATTAATTTTGTAAGAAGGCCACCAGACTAAGACGGCCATTTTCTCCATGACAACGTGTGGCCCTCTTAGCCAATTTGAACTGTACTTTGTTTTGGTAAGTGTTTTATCGCGCTCGCAACTGCATAAGGTCATATGAACGGGCTGACTGTACTTTGTGCAAAGATCAAATTAGTTGTGGTCAAAGCGCAATGTACGTGAAGGATCGCGACAGAATGTACCCTTTTAATATCTAAGCAATACTTGAGACTTTGACTGACTTTATTTGTTTATACTTTTTAGAACTGATATTAATTACCAGTGGGTGGTTGGCGGGTGCTCTGGTGTGGTTTGCTTCTTCTTTCCTGTCAAACATCTATCGTCCTTATCTCCCCTTCTTCTTTTTTATGTTTGTTACTCTCTTGTAACAGCTCTAATCATCTGGCGCTCATATGACCTTATGCAGTTGCGAGCGCCGTAAAACTTCTACTAAAACTAAACATTAATTATGACTCTCAATAGTTTTTATACAGGTGTTTTTACGCCCCTATCGACACAATTTTGATAATTCTGGAGGCGGACTTCCACTCTGTCAGGGCCAACCCGTGCTGAGAGGGATACAACATCCCAACAGAAAAACCGAGATACTCGATAAAACTTGGAAATCAAATTCGGGTTTCCTGCTTGCAACAGCGATGTGCCTAACAGCTAGATTACACCTAAGACATCGGTACCCTCAACAATGTTATCTTCCAGCTTCTACTAGGTTGAAAACATACTTTTAGATTGTATGAGCAGCCTCCCCCCCAACCAACCAACCAACCAACCAACCAACCAACCAACCAACCAACCAACCAACCAACCAAACAACCAACCAACAAACAAACAAATAAACAAACAAACAAACAGCCCTCCAACAACAACAACAACAACAAACAAACAGCCCCCCCCAAACAACAACAACAAACGTAAAAACCTCACTTTAAGCTGTACAAAGCCGCAAAGGAACAAACATAATGTTGTCGTTCACACTATTTTTTTGACATATTCGTCAAGCTTTTTGAATTTGGAAAACGACTTGAAATTAAAAAATAATTCTACCTCGTAGTCAATATTCCAAGTACAGACGAACACACGAATGAAAGAAACGAGGCGATTCGAACCTACATCTTCCGAACACTTGTCCATTTCCCTAACTATTTGGCGCTCATATGACCTTATGCAGTTGCGAGAGCCGTAAAACCTCTACTAAAACTAAACATCCCAAGCTATCCACCGCTTCAAAGCAACGTACTTCCCCGCTCTTCCCGATGTGCGCAGTGTCCTGTAAGCTGGGAAGCCCCGCCCACTTTTCCCTACACCGGCCGTAATCCCATGCCACTAATCCTGTCGTGTCAACGCTAATCCCCAGAGGACGTCCCATCGCCTGTGGCCAGTCTCCCTCCCACAGCTGTAATGCACACATCTCCGCAGTGGACCGCATCTCTACAGGTTTAGCTGACGATCACTTCCCCGTCACGACGCCTGATGTAAAAGGATATACGCGCAACTGTCTGTCTGTCTGTCTGTCTGTCTGTCTGTCTGTCTGTCTGTCTGTCTGTCTGTCTGTCTGTCTGTCTGTCTGTC